AACAAACTTACATCATCTGTCCAAGGAAAGAGGCAGACAAGTCTGGAAAGACAAGAATGAGAAGAAATGATGTCTCAGCTTCAGGGTTTGGGTACGGCCTCCAGATGCTTGGGGAGCACTGTGTCTCCACAGCACAGAGGTAGACGGCAGAGTCTCTGGGCTGGGCGGCTGAGATGTGCAGGGCGCTGCGACTCTCCTTTGTGTTTATTGTGGCACTTATTCTTCCTTTCTTCTTCATCTCTAAGCTCAGTGTAAACAAGGAGACGATGCCTCCTCCAGGATTCTGTCGCATCCAGTGTAAGCTGGTCATGCCTATGGAGTAACTGCAATTGATTGTGATAACTTCTCCTTCCTGGGCACTCAGGTGCTGGGGACTTTGCTCCACTCCATTTTTGCCATTGACCCCTGTTCTCAAAGACATGGTCAAGCACAGAATATTACCATTATTGCAAAATTTCTACAAATTTCTTTCCTTTACCCATTTCCCAGAGCACACTAAAGTTTAGCTTCTTGGAGTCCCTTACCTCCCGCCTCAGAATCTTGAAAACGTATCCCTTTAGTCTTTCTGTTCCCATAATCAGAAAACCCCCTACTTACAGCTTAACTGAAGCCACAGAATAGCCACCAAAATTTGCCAAGTCTTCGTCATTGTTATTGTAGCAGAGGCTCACACAGGTCTCTGTGAGAGGATTTGAAATATACGTTAGTTTGTCAAAGGAGTCTTTTATTATTATTACTCCTCGGTGTTTACTTTACAAATCAAACGGGATTTCCAGCCCAGTAGAGGCAGCACAAATGCACACATTTGCATTATTTTTAATGCATTGATTCTAGAGCTGCCTGCACAGGGAACTGGCTTGATCTTTTAAATGAAATGCCCACATTGCCACCTAGTGGCAAGATACAGAACTATTCGTTATGTAGGTCAAATACTCTGATGAAAAAAACCCCAAGATAAATCTAGAATCAAAGGTAGCAACTAGGAATCCTGGGAGTGGGGTTAAGTGGGGAATAGAAGCCCCATGATTCTCAGGCTTCAGCCAGTTATGCTAGATCAAGCAGGGTTGGTGACAACCTGTGCATTTCACATTATATCTTTCTGGAAACCCAAGGGCAGTTCTGTTCTCTGTTTTAAAAAAGGCATTTCTTATAAATATCTCTGGTTTCTTCACATGACATCTCTGTTTCTCCACATGATATTATTTCAGACTCCTTCCCTAGTCTTATCTTTCTTTTCTGGACTTGTAACATTTGTCCATATCTCTTCAAACATGTTTCAAATGTTACTTAATTCTTTTGGTTTCCACTCATCTATGGCTGTTATCTGTTTCAGTGATTTCATCATGTTGTTGAATTATTTTTTTTATTATTTTTTAAAATAAGTCTTTATTGTTCAGATTATTACAGTTTTTCCTCCTTTTTCTCCCCATAGCTCCCCTCCACCCAGTTCCCACCCAACCCCATGCCCTTACCCTCCCCATTGCCCTTGTCCATAGGTGTTCGATTTTTGTCCAGTCTCTTTCCTCCTTCCCCCCCGAGAATTGTCAGTCCACTCCCTTTCTATGCCCCTGATTCTATTATATTCACCAGTTTATTCTGTTCATCAGATTTTTTATTCACTTGATTTTTAGATTCACTTGTTGATAGATATGTATTTGTTGTCACTTTGTTGTTCATAATTTTTATCTTTACCTTTTTTTTCTTCTTCTTCTTCAAGAATATCCTTTAGCATTTTATATAATACTAGTTTGGTGGTAATGAACTCTTTTAGCTTTTTTTTTTTTTTAATCTGTGAAGCTCTTTATCTGACCTTCAATTCTAAATGACAGCTTTGCTGGGTAGAGTAATCTTGGTTGTAGGTTCTTGCTATTCATCACTTTGAATATTTCTTGCCACTCCCTTCTGGCCTGCATAGTTTCTATTGAGAAATCAGCTGACAGTCGTATGGATACTCCCTTGTAGGAAACTAACTGTTTTTCTCTTGCTGCTTTTAAGATTCTCTCTTTGTCTTTTGCTCTTGGCATTTTAATTATGATGTGTCTTGGTGTGGTCCTCTTTGGATTCCTCTTGTTTGGGGTTCTCTGCACTTCCTGGACTGGTAAGTCTATTCCTTTCACCAGGTAGGGGAAGTTTTCTGTCATTATTTCTTCAAATAGGTTTTCAATATCTTGCTCTCTCTCTTCTGGCACCCCCATAATTTGGATGTTGGTATGCTTGAAGTTGTCCCAGAGGTTCCTTACATTATCTTCATATTTTTGGATTTTTTCTTTTTGCTTTTCCGGTTGGGTGATTTTTGCTTCTTCGTATTTCAAATCTTTGACTTGATTCTTGGGATCCTCTAGTCTGCTGTTGGATCTCTGTATATTATTCTTTATTTCAGTCAGTGTATGCTTAATTTTTAATTGATCCTTTTTCATATCCTTGAGGGTCTCACTAAATTTCTCGGAGGTTTCTAGAAAATTCTTGAAAAACCTTATAACCGTGGTTTTGCACTCTATATCCAGTAGTTTGCTTTCATCCATTTCTTTCATTTGTGACTTGTTTCTTTGTCTCCGCATTTTGACTGCTTCCCTGTGTTGATAGAGTGGCCTTGTGTGGTAGGTGTCCTATAGGGCCCAGTGGCTCAGCCTCCCAAGTCACCTGAGGTAGATGCTCTTGGTGCACCCCTTTGTGGGCTGTGTGCACAGCCTTGTTGTGGTTAATCCTTGATTGCTGTTGGTATCACTGATAGGAATTGACCTCCAGGCCAATTGGCTATGAGGACCAGTTGTGTCTACAATGGGAGAACTGCTATGCAGGAAACACCCATATGGGGCAGGACTTGCTTCAGTGGGGCTTTGGTGCTCACTGAGTATGCCCCCTGAGTGTGTCTCTTATAGATCTGAAGAGTTGTAATCTGGTGTGGTATCACTTTGACTACTGGGAACACTGGCTCTTGGATCTCCAAGGAGGTGCAAAGTCAGCCACTGCCTGGGGCCACCCAGCAGGAGCTACAGAGAGATCTGCAGATTCCTCCTCTTTGTTTAGGGTTTGGAGGTGCCCAGATGAAGTGCAGCTGTGAAACAATGCAGTCTGCTGACAAGCCTTAGGCCTTCTTTTGGAAGCTCTGGGGTTCTTTGACCCAGCTGCAGTTTGTTAGGTTAGGTTGCAAAAGGCCAGGCCATTCATATGCAAAAGCATCTGTACACAGTTTGGGTGGGGTTGTAAATTGGGTGTGGTGTGGTCTCAGGGAATCATGGGGCAGTGCAAACAGCTATGGGTGCCCATCGGCCCTGCCCCAGATAGGTCCCTGGGTCTCTGTGTCCCGCAGCCCCGTGCAGGAACAATGAACACTGTGAGCACCTCTGACAGAAAGCCGCTCTTGTGTTCCAGCCCCATGCCAGACAGTCCAGTTTCTCCCTGTATGAGTCTGGGTTCCCAGAGTCTTGCCTGGAACTGGAGTTCAGAGCAGTTGGGAGTTTGTATCTCCCTCCTGATTGAAAAAGACCGCAACATACCCAGTTGCCAGCCCATTTCACGTGCCTCAGTACCTCTGCTCTTCCGCACCTCTGCACCTCCTACCAGTCTAGATGGGCTTTTTTCTTTCCCTCTAGTTGTCAAACTTCCACTCAGCCAGCCTTCCTGTGGTTCTGGATGATATCCATTTTGTATTTTAGTTGTAGTTTTGATGTGGTTGTGCGAGGCACCAAGTTCAGGTGTTTACCTATGCCGCCATCTTGGTTCCTCTATGTTGTTGAATTATTTTGAGCTTGTAGTCATTTTCCACTTTTGGGACTCCTTTAAGCCCATATGCCCTCCACATAAGAGATGAATGCAGAGGTCATGTTTGTATCAAATGACCTCCTTTCCCTGACTGTAATTGGGTCTGGGTAAATATTGTGCTTATTTAATTCGGACAAGGGGTATAAAAACAGTAGTTAGACAGTCTTTGCCACTAGAGCTATAAAACCCTATGGCGTTTGAACCATGGTCATCTCTTGGCAAATTAAAGCAGCATATGTTCAAACTCGAGTTGTGAAATCTGGTCTCCCAAGAGGAGAACTGGTTATATGTTCAGAGAGAAATGGGTTCAGAAAAAATAGCCAGTTGAGATTTCCTTTTTCTTGGGAGGTCTGCTGTATTCGTTGCAGATGGATTTATGTGACTCATCCATATCCTTCCAGCAAATCTCTATTTCCTTGAGCGAGTTACATGCCAGAACATTTTTCATACACACAAAAAAACCTGTAAGTCCACAATTCTTTGTTCTATATCTCACAAATGATTTTTATAATACAATGTGCAGAAATATATAGACATCTCCACTAAACTTCGTTTTGGCTGTTTCAGTCTGTCCAATATGCTTGAACATATTAGCTACCTATCTCAACATTATGCTATTTGCACATCTGATGGGTATATCTTATGCGAACAGGTCAGGCTGAAGGGTAAAATTGTGTGATAAGCAGTAGAAACAGTTTTCTAAATTGAATTTTTGTATATGGATATTCTTTCAGCTGAGGAGCCATGACTGTAGCATTATGCAGAAGGACAAAGTGAGAAGTGACTATGGTTTGGAGACAAATAGACAAGTTTGAGGCATAGCCCTGCCATTTCCTAGATATTGGGTTTTGAGAAGTTACCACAACACTCCAATCCTCAATTTACTGTAAAGTGGTGATAATGCTTATCAAACTTGTGGTTTTGTGGTGAGGATTACAGATAACTTTGGGAGTTACCGAAGAATAGTGGTTAAGAATGCAGGCTTTGGGCTTGTCTACCTGTACTTGTATGCTAGCGCCCCTCTTACTCTGTTCTCTTGTTCATTTCTCTGTAGCTCAGTTTCTTTGGTGCTAATAATTGTACTTATGAGATTGTGGTGGTGATCAAATAGATTAGGTTATTGGATGCACTTAGAACAATACTTTGTATATACAGGGTAGAGCAAAAGTAGGTTTACAATTGTGAGTATGCCAGAGTTTATTTTTGTATTATTATTTATTAATTGTTCTATTATTTTTCATACAAACAACTGTAAACCCACTTTTGCACCATCCTGTATGTTAAGCACTTGATAAATGTTGGTCATTATTATTATTGATAGACAATAGTTCCTGTGATAAATATATCACTCAAGGAACATGTGATATTATCACTTTTTAATGAGAAACAAAATAGTCAAATGTCTTGTAAACATTTGAGATAATTTAAATAAGTATACCTGCCTTGAATTTAGCAATCTTTTTTAAAAAATACCTTTAGTAAACTCATTCTAGTTCATACTGATCACTTATTATTCTAAGAGAAAACACATTGTCTGTTAACAATATGTTCTAAAACTTTGTTGGACATCAGTCCATGTCTTGCTTGTTTATAGGTTTGGGATTTCCTTCATTCCCCTTAGGTTTTCAAAAATTTTACCCGATGCATCTCAAATCATGCCTGTAAATTCTTTTTGTTTGGAAATGAATTTAAATGATCCAGAAGACTTAATTATATTGAAAACTTCTAAGACTTCTCTTGGTATCTCTTTACTTATAATTTTCAATTTCTTCATTTTTTTTTCAATTTGAAATATTCTGCTTGATGGAGAATAGGGAATGAAAACAGGAGTTCAGACACTCTACCTTTTCTCTATTATCTGTCAACATCATTCTATTTTGTTTAATA